TTTGGTTGATCATGAAATGCATTAGTGAGGCTTCTGCCTAGTTACAGGAATACCGAACTTTCAATATTACAAACATTAGTTTTTAATTCTTTTTTCCACATAGAGAAAAATTTATGCCTCAACATCTATATTTCCTTTTCACAATGCCCAAACAGAAATTTTTAAATTTTTTGAAAACTCTATAATATCAATGACTTATATTCTTCTTTTTTACTTGTGCAGGCATCAAGTGATCAGACCAATGTAGATATTTTGATTCCTTTCTTTATGAGTATTACTGTTGCAATGTACGTTACTCTTCTCAGCATCATCATCATCACTTGTCAATATGCCTGGCCGACTATAATCATAGTGATCCCACTCGGTTGGCTTAACATCTGGTACCGGGTATGAGTATGACTCCTCCCATTATAAATTATTATTTTTTTTTTTTTTGTTATAAAATTTTTATTAAACGGAAAATTTTGTATTTTTCTTCGGACTTTTCAGGGCTACTACCTTTCCACCTCCCGTGAACTGACTCGACTCGACTCTATCACAAAAGCGCCTGTCATTCATCATTTCTCCGAGAGCATAACGGGTGTCATGACTATTCGTTGCTTTCGAAAGCAAGAGAGTTTTTGCCAAGAGAATGTTAATCGAGTGAATGCAAATTTACGCATGGATTTTCACACCAATGGATCGAACGAGTGGCTGGGATTTCGTATGGAGCTAATCGGGAGTTTGATCCTCTGTGTGTCTGCTATGTTCATGATAGTGTTACCTAGCAGTATCATCAGGCCAGGTGTGTGTTCATGTTCATCACCCAATTTAAGGCTATGTTTGGTAAAAGTAGCTGATAGCTTATAAGTGATTTTCGAGCTTATAGCCTATACTTTATGACTTATAGCTGAAAAGTTAGCGTATGTGATATGTTTGGTAAAATTAGCTGATAAACTAGCTGAAATAAAAATTTCAACAAGCTTATAAAAAGTTATCAAACGAAGGTTTTTAAAAAAATTCGTCCTACGAAATGAAGCTTATAAGCTAACCAAATAAACTATAAGCTAACTTATTTGATTATCAAACATAGCCAAATATATGGTTGAATTTTTCTCAAAATATTTAATTTTGATATTTAATAATTTCCACAGAGAATGTCGGGTTAGCTCTTTCATATGGGCTTTCGCTTAACTCAGTGTTATATTGGGCCATATACATGAGTTGCTTCTTGGAGAACAGAATGGTTTCAGTTGAGAGGATAAAACAGTTCACTGTCATTCCATCTGAAGCGGAATGGAGGAAAAAGGATTTTCTCCCTCCGATTAACTGGCCGACACAAGGAAACGTTGTGCTCAAAAACTTGCAGGCAAGTTATTTATGCACATAAAAGATAAAATAATTTTAATATTGTATATAATGAAGTATTTTATTTGATTTTTGGATGAACAGGTAAAATATCGTCCTGATACTCCTCTAGTACTCAAAGGTATTAGTCTCAGCATAAACGGTGGAGAGAAAATTGGTGTTGTGGGCCGTACAGGCGGTGGAAAATCGACTCTAATCCAAGTCTTGTTTCGATTGGTCGAACCTTCGGCTGGGAAAATAATCATCGATGGCATAGATATTTCGGCATTAGGGCTTCACGACCTTAGGTCTCGATTCGGAATCATTCCTCAGGAGCCTGTGCTTTTCGAAGGAACTGTGAGGAGCAACATTGACCCAACTGAACAATATTCGGATGATGAAATATGGAAGGTAGATTTGCTTTCTTTTCTTTTATGGTAATTCTTAATGAAATCCTATTTTTGTGCTAAATCATTTTTTGCACCTCTCTGTAGAGTCTTGAACGTTGCCAACTTAAAGATGTAGTATCCTCAAAACCCGGGAAGCTCGATTCTGCTGGTAAAGACACTATCACACTTCATATAATTTCACTATAAATTATTATGGTTTGCTAATCCGGAAAATGGTGAAAGAAACATTAAAAAAAAAATAAAAAATGTAACATCCTTAATTTAACTGGCTCGTTTATCTCAGTTGTTGACAATGGTGATAACTGGAGTGTGGGCCAGAGGCAGCTTTTATGTTTGGGTCGAGTGATGTTAAAGAAAAGCAGACTTCTATTTCTGGATGAAGCAACTGCATCCGTTGATTCACATACAGATGGTGTGATCCAGAAGATAATAAGAGAAGACTTTGCAGACTGCACGATTATAAGCATTGCCCACAGAATACCGACTGTTATGGACTGTGATCGGGTTTTGGTCATAGATGCAGGTTCGTGCATTTTAGTAAACCTAGCTGATATAAGCTAGTTTATAGCTGTGAAGTGAATTTCGAGCTTATAGTTGATTAGCTTATGACTTATTGCTGAAAAACTTGCTTATATGATAAAAAGTGTTTGACAAAATTAGCTGATAAGGTGAAGTAAAAATTTCAATGGGCTTCTTTGAAAAGCTGCTCAATGAAGCTTTTATGAATAAGCTTGAGCTTTTTAAAAAAGCTTATAGCTTACCAAACACCGCCTGATTTGTTTATAAATATGAAGAAGTCTTAAAATGGAAACACGTTCTTCTCTATACAATGTAAAAAAAAAAAAATGAAAATTTGATTTTGTGTGTGTAAGTTAATGTTGTTCGTTTACCTTCTAATTTCTATAACAGGAAAAGCAAAGGAATTTGACAGACCATCTAATTTGCTCGAGAGGCCGTCTCTTTTTGGGGCATTGGTTCAGGAATATGCCAACCGATCATCCGAACTTTGAGTGGCTGAAAAAAGCTGCATAATTTGGATATTTGGAGTCTCAGATGAAGAGATAGTCAGGATATTGTATCATGTTGTAGCAAATTTTGGTCTTTCCTTCAGAGGAACAAAGGCTTGCAAGATAGAAAATTTAAGCATTCAGAAATAAAGTATAGTAGGAGTTAATTCTTGTAGTTATTTTGGGAAATTGATAATAAGCTCAACATTATATTTGAGATACCAAGATATATTTGTAACTGATGATTCTTGAAGTTATCATTAATGTAGCTGAATGGCTTCTTTATATGATGTTATTCTTCTTTGGTTGTTCCTGTGCTTTATAATTATTGTTATTAGACATGAACTAAATCTGAAAATATATATTTTATAGGCTATAAAATATCATTTTATATTGAATAAAACGATTATACTTAATTAATATCAATCAATTATTAACTAACTTTCACTTCACATCATTTTTCTCTTACTTTTACTTTACATCAAAATCAACTTTAATCATATTATTTCAAATATTATTTTAATATAAATTTAAAATTTTACTAACAATTAATCATACTATATTTATCAATATTAACAAACGTTAAATAAAGTTATTTTGACAAGATATACTTGTTTCAATGCCATTAGACCTTTCTCTTTAGGGTCAGGCGCTCAAATAACAAATTTCTGGGGGGCGAAGTGTCATTTAGTGAAATCCATAAATAAAAATCAAAGTACAATCTTAAACCCTAAAGCCCTCTTTTTCAGAACCCTAATTTGCCTGTGCTTGAGGCAGCGGCGCCATGGGTGGCTCCAGAAGAAAGTACAAGCGTTCAAGGGCGAAAGTACGAGTCGGACTGCCGAGGAGAAACCCTAACGTGTTCAAGCCGGCGTTCAATCTCCCCCCGAAGCTCAAAACTCTCTTGGACCCGCTCTCGAAGTGGGACGACAAGGGCAGCGTAATCGAGAATTACAAGTCGTTCGGCGTCGTTTCGAACCCCAATTTCCTCGGCGTCCGGGCTCGCACGGCTCACATTGTCGAGAGCGATGACCTCCAGATGGCCCCCGCCGACGAGCCCGTGTCGGAGTTCGAGCCGGTCGATAGCGGCAGCGATCTCGAGGAAGATGGTCAGTGTTTTTTTTTTTTTTTTTTTTNCTGAGTTTTGTTATTTTTGGCCCAATTGTTTGTTTTGTTGATTTCTTAGAGCTGTTGCACTGACTCCAATTTTTACTTGTTCATGCTAGCTCAATTTCTCTTGAACAAAGGTCGTGAATAATTGTTGGGGATATAAATGTTCCGCTCTTGTGAATTTGGTTATTTTTGGCTCAATTGATTATTTTGTTGATTTCTGAGAGCTGTTGCTTGAGCTTCAATTTCTACTAGTTCATGGTAGCTCAATTTCTCTTGAACAGAGGTCATGGATAATTGTTTTGGGATGTAAATGTTCTTCCCTAAATTGCATAGTAGGATTTGTACTAAACCTTTTAAGTTTCTTCTTGCTTTTCTTCAGTTGACATCTTTTAACAGCATAGTTTTTTGTGGGTTAATGTAGATTTGAAGTCGGCTCTCGGGAAAAAGCGGCGTGATGGTAAACACACGTCCCTACAACCACTTACAGCAACACAAAGAGTTCATGTTAAGCGTCTCGTGGAGAAATACGGTGATGATTATCAGGTATGGAGGACGAGCAGACTCTTTATGTTGTCTATATATATGTGTGTGCTTGATTTCATATAGTTTGGGTATGTTTGTTTATAAATTATTTCAATTCATGCTCAAAATTTAACTCAACTTTAACGATTCCCAATATAATTAAATAATATCAATTAATTATTCTTACACATCACATCAACTTTAATTTACAATTATTCTTACACATCACATTTCTTTCCTACTTTTACATCAAAACAATATTAATTATTTTAGTATAAACTCAAGATCCCACTAACAACTAACTATACCAACTTTTTCAAGATTAACCATGATTAACCAAAAAAAAAACCCATTTTGAGTGGATATATTTGTATCCAAGCACACCCTTAGTAATTTAGTTTTGTTTACAAGCGTCTCGTTTTACAGGGCATGTTCATGGATATTAAATTGAACAGCTTGCAGCATTCGGTGGCAACACTCGAGAAACTTTGCAAACGGTATCATAAGTTCAAAGACCAGAACCCCATGCTTGTGGGTACTTGAGAGCGAGTCCCATATGAGCAAGTTCTTTTTGGGTCATCCAATTTCGAGACTCAAAACTTGGTCATATTCACTGGTGTTGTCTTTACAATCTGCATACTGTTTATTTGATTTGCTGAGAGTACTGTGGGCTTAAATTACTCTGTTATTTTGATTGCACTAGAGATACGATATTTTGCCATCAGTCGATGTTAGCACGTGCAATGGTGTATTTTTGGGAAGTTTTTGTTGTAGTGTTTTACTTATTAGGCCTGTTTTGTTAGCATGATTTCTTTAAATCTCTGTTTCATTTTTGTTGTACTCTGCTTCTGTGGTTAACAAGTTGTGATAATGTTTTAGTACTGATGTTATGACATCACATGTTCCTTGACAAAAAGAAAAATCAATTTTTTATTTTCTACACATGCATTATACAGATTATGTACTTAAAAGAACATCCATCAAACAGAAACTAAAGGAAAAAGACATAGTAGCATTAGGATGGTCCTATTTAACTCAAAGGCCTGTGAATTAAGGCACTGGGATTCCCAGTGTTCCTTTGTCTGCTAAATTCTCTCCATCTTTTTCCCAGATTAACTAAACAGTTCACATTTTGTATAGAAGTTACAAACACAAAGGTTTACCCTTCGGCCTAGCAGAATATGTAGCTTGTGCCTTCATATACTCGTTCTTGTAATAAATCGAAGCAAAGTGTCGATTTACGTCACCATGAATTTCATATTAACAGCATAAGAGACTGGATCGAACAATGTATCCTGCACATCATACATAAATAAGTAAATTTAAACCTTCTCTTACAAGAAAAGAAATAGATCAACAAACTGGAAAAAACAAAGATCATAATATAGCACAAATTCTGTTTT